ATTTCTTCATCCTTGTGTTATTGGCCTGTCTTCACATATTAAAAATAACCTCAAGACTTATTTATAAAATAAAATGATATCTTTAGCTTCTTTTTCATGAGAACTATTATTAGTTTCTGGCATATGTCAAACAATAATAATACGTGCAAATTCTGTAAACATCATGAAAGTGCAATATCTCAGTAAAGGTTCTCATTTGATGAAAGCTTCTGGTTACGACCATGCTGGGGATATCCATTCTCATAATCGTCACATCCTTGTGCCGCATTAGCAACATGCTCTGTTGTTATGACATTTCTTCTTTAATCTGTGTTTGTCTGATGAGGAAGCTGTCAGAACTGAGAAGAAATGTGAGCCGACATGTTTTGTCCCATTTTTGTTTATCACCTGTATTTCATTGCTCCAATAAGTAATGGATGCGTTGATAGGTAATTGGCAATATAAGAGTATCCTTGGTCCAGGGGTATTTCAATGCTTTCTATGGCTGCTATAGCAGTAAAGCCCAATCTTGAAGGATGATGTAGGAGTCAAAAGAGGTCCTTCTCTGTGTCATATCTACGTGATAATACTCAGTGATATATCTGATATGATAGAGATCCTTGGGATATCTGCTAGAACAATTATCAGACACATCGCTCAAAAATGATCTGATATTCTATATATATCACATTTGAGATACAGTAAAACCTGCCTAATCTGAACACCACGGAGAATCAATGAGAGATAACAGAGCCAATGAGAATCAATGAGAGATAACAGAGCCAATGAGAATCAATGAGAGATAACAGAGCCAATGAGAATCAATGAGAGATAACAGAGCCAATGAGAGATAACAAACTTAAGACAGAGAACAGTATTTATTTTAACCTCTTGAATACCCAGAGTGACGGATCCGTCACAAATGAAATAAGACTGGTGCCCAGAGGGACGAGAAAATCCGTCACAAAATTTTTCACAAAAATTGCTCTCATTTGAACAATTTTCATCCAATTTACACAAAAATTGTTTTAAAACGTGTAGAAATGATCTCTGCCGTCCAATTTTACTAAGCTGAGCAACTAAAGTTGTATAGGTATGAGTAGTATACGGCGGGCCTTTCGACCTACAACCGGCACCGGTACTTGTGCACCATGGTGCACCGGACGTGACGTCATATGCCATATGCACCGGAAGTGACGTCATAGATCACGTGGTAAGATGATGCACTGGAAGTGGAAGTGACGTCATAGGTCACATGGTTACTGATATAACTGGTCAAAGGTTACTGATAATTGATAAGAGAGAGATAATAAACTGATAAGACAGTGAAAAAGATAACTACCATGGTTTCTGATATAACTGGTCAAAGGTTACTGATAACTAATAAGAGAGAGCTCAATTGATAAGATAATCAAACAAACACTGTTAAGGTAACCTGGTGACTATGTGATAAGCTATCTTGTCTACTTCATGGATGTTTCATTGTTATAGGTCAAAGGTGGATAACAAACTGATAAAACAGTGAAAAAGATAAGACGATGCACCGGAAGTGGAAGTGACGTCATAGGTCACATGGTTACTGATATAACTGGTCAAAGGTTACTGATAATTGATAAGAGAGAGATAATAAACTGATAAGACAGTGAAAAAGATAACTACCATGGTTTCTGATATAACTGGTCAAAGGTTACTGATAACTAATAAGAGAAAGCTCAATTGGTAAGATAATCAAACAAACACTGTTAAGGTAACCTGGTGACTATGTGATAAGCTATCTTGTCTACTTCATGGATGTTTCATTGTTATAGGTCAAAGGTGGATAACAAACTGATAAAACAGTAAAAAATATAAGACGATGCACCGGAAGTGGAAGTGACGTCATAGGTCACATGGTTACTGATATAACTGGTCAAAGGGTCGCGAGTAAATCTCAGGCACAACATGGAAATCTGAAATTATAGAGGGCGCAAATCCAAGTGCACTTGTACTGGAAGTCTGTCTAAATATGGCTGGACTACACAAATTCGACCTACTTTTGTACCACGTGATGTGTTTTAGCCAATAGCCGAGGGGCTGCTAGATGTCTGTCAAGTTACAGTATTTATGTCTCAAATAAAAATGCATTATATCTCATCTTATATTGGACTTTTAAGTTACAATATTGAACCCATTAACAGCACACTAAGTGATTGTTCCCGATCCAAAAATTTCTTCTGAGCCCTTGGTGTTCTTAATTCTAAGTGATTAATCTTGATCCTAGGTGATTGTTATTGATCTTAAGTGATAATGTTTTTGATCCTTAGAAATATCCTCATGATCTTGATCTTTGGTATCTGTCTTGATCCTTAGGGATTGGGTCGATCCTAAACAATTTTACAGGTGATTGTTCTTAATCTTAAGTGATTGTTTTTATTACTTTAAATTTTTCTTGACTCTTCTGGGCAATTGTTTGGTTGTGATTCTTAATATTTTGTTTTGATACTGTGATTGTACTCAATTGTTCTAATCTTAGTTGATTGTCCCTGGTTTAGGTGATTGTTCCTGATCATAAGTGATTTACCTTGATCCTTGATATTTTTTCTTTACTAAGCTCGGTCAGTACGTGGTTGATTGTTTTAGATCATATTAATTGGTCCTTATGTGATTTGTGATCGTGCTGGTCAAATGTGGTTGTACAATGTACAATAGACTATAATATACTAGTATTGTCCAAAATTTCCCGGGAAATCTCATTTCATTTCGCCGTGTGTAAAATGAATATGCGCCCTCTATGATTTCAGATTTCCATGTCGTGCCTGAGATTTACTCGCGACCCTGGTCAAAGGTTACTGTAATTGATAAGAGAAAGATAATAAACTGATAAGACAGTGAAAAAGATAACTACCATGGTTTCTGTTATAACTGGACAAAGGTTACTGATAATTGATAAAAGAACATAGGTTTGAGTTCTATGCCCAATGCACAGAAATGATGTCATAGGTCACATGGTTACTGATATAAATGGTCAAAGGTTACTGATAACTGATAAGAGAGAGCTCAATTGATAAGATAATCAAACAAACACTGTTAAGGTAACCTGGTGACTATGTGATAATGTATCTTGTCTACTTCATGGATGTTTCATTGTTATAGGTCAAAGGTGGATAACAAACTGATAAAACAGTAAAAAAGATAACTGCAGAACCATTTCAACCAAACAGGTTTTAATTTGCAGAATTATGTTAACCAATCAGAGTACAGTATATTTTAACCAACCAGGTTTCGAGATGCAGAATCGTTTTACCCAATAAGGAACAGAATGTTTGGATTCTTTTAACCAATCACAGTATAGTATGTCTTAACCAATCAGGTTTCGAGATGCAGAATCATTTTAACCAATAAGGGGACAGTATGTTTGGATTATTTTAACCAATCGAGGTACAGGCAAGTGCAGGCTTCCACTTCCACTGCCACTGACATGACTGGACAAAGGTAACTGATAATTGTTAAGAGAGGGGTCAACTTATAAGATAATCCCAGCTCAGTGAAAACATTGACATACAATGCTAATTGCTATGCTTCATGCTATGCTGTATGTTATGCAACATGCTATGCTAAATGCTATTCTAATGCTATTCTATTCTACATGCTATGCTACATGTTACATGCTGTACAATGCTACGTGTTATGCTGGTTATTCCACATGCTATACTACATGCTACATGCTATACTATGCTACATGCTATGCTATGCTACATGCTATGCTATGCTACATGCTATGCTATGCTACATACTATGATATGCTACATGCTATGTTATGCTACATGCTATGCTACATGTTATGCTATGCTACATGCTAAGCTATGCTACATGCTATGCTACATGCTATGTTATGCTACATGCTATGCTATGCTACATGTTATGCTATGCTACATGTTAAGCTATGCTACATGCTATGTTATGCTACATGCTATGCTATGCTTCATGTTATGCTATGCTACATGCTAAGCTATGCTACATGCTATGCTACATGCTATGTATGCTACATGCTATGCTATGCTATATGTTATGCTATGCTACATGCTATGCTATGCTATGCTACATGTTACATGTTATGCTACATGTGAAATGCTATACTATGCTACATGCTATGCTATGCTACATGCTATGCTATGCTACATACTATGCTATTCTACATGCTATGTTATGCTTCATGCTATGCTATGCTACATGCTAAGCTATGCTACATGTTATGCTACATTTGACATGCTATACTATGCTCATGCTATCCCATAATGCAATGCGTTTTACTAGATTATGGTATATAACTGGCTTAACTGTATAAGTTATTCATATTTCTAAAAGATGTCAAAGAGTGATCACACATGTTCTTGCGGAAGGACTTACAGTCATTGTTCTAGTCTGTATCGACACAAAAAGACCACTTGTCAACCATCTGAAATGCATCAGGAACATTGCATGAATCTTGGAGGTGGTGTTGTCCTGCAACATCCCTTCACAATGATGGTATGTGGACCCACAGGGTGTGGAAAGAGCACATATGTCAAGGAAGTAATCAATCAGGCTGACATTATGATCAGACCAGCTCCTCAGATAATTATTTGGTATTTTTCTGAGTGGCAGCCGTTATACATAGAAATAAAAACACAGCATCCCTTAGTTGAATTTGTGATGGGATTGCCATCAGACTTTGACACAATGGAGCCTTCTGTGAATAATTTGGTAATCATTGATGACATGATGACTGATGCTACAAGAGCCAAGACAGTGTCAGAGCTTTTCACCAGAGGTTCACATCACCGAAATATTAGTGTCATATGTATTCTACAAAATTTGTTTTATCGTGGGCGTGAAAATCGTACAATGAGTCTCAACAGTCACTATATTAATCTGTTTAAAAATCCCCGGGACAAGCAGCAGATTTTTCACTTGGCTCGTCAAATGTATCCAGGAAATCCTGAAAAGCTTTTGAAGGTCTATCACAAAGCTACTGCTCAACCATACGGCCATCTATTGGTTGATTTAAAACAAGAGACTCCTGAGAGTGATAGACTAAAGGGAAGTGAAGAAATTAAAGAAATACACCTCTCAACACAGATACAGTCAAAACCATATGTACCTACTTTGACTACCCAACGTTCAAGATTAGATGCTGAAACTCCTGCTTGTGGAATCGTCCAATCTGCTATAAATACCCAAACATTTACCCCATGTCAACAGTATACACCAGGACTGGCCATGGCAGAGGAGAGCTGGAAACACGGTCTTAAGCACTTTCCCCATTGTCTAGACTGTGGTCTGGTCTTTATGACACCAACAGATGTGACCAATCACAGAAAACGTACACGATGTGTAGAGGAAGATGACAGTGATGTTGAAGAGCCTTCAAAGAAAAAAATTCTTCTGCATGATGTCAGAGAAAATAAAACATTGTTGGAGATGAGAAACAAGATTTATAATTATTTTGATAAAGAGTTCAACAGGCTGGTGTCAAAATACCAAGACAGAGGACTGGGTGAAAAAGAATCCATTGAAAAGGCCAAACTAAAGTTATTACCAGAAGTTAAAGCCCGTTTTCTAAGGCAGTATGGACAGCTTCTATATCAGATCATAGACTTGCAAAAATTGGATATTCATGACACTATTACGGAAGTTGTCGAATCATTGGTAAACAATGGTTTTTCCTTTGACAGAGCTATCCAAAAAGCCATGTCCCGATTTTCACGTCTGGCAGATGAGCTTTTTGATCATGATGAGGATTATACAAAGGAAGGAAGCAATAATGATGATGGTTCTACTTATAACAGTGACGATGCAAGCGAGAATGAAGATGGCACTGATGATGCTGATGATAATGCTAACACAGCATAACACCCCTCTTACTTGGACTGCTCTGAAATGACTTAAATACATTAAACAACATATTATTTTAATCATTTCAAAGCTAGCACCCATCGTGAACACTTCGAAAAAACCATGCCAAAGCTAGTGCCTTATGTGGATGATCCGAAAGTGTGGAAGAAATTCATTAGAGCTCAGGTGGAAGGGCGTGTCATAGAGCAACCTGGTTATGGAAGAAGGGGAAGAGTCAAGTGGATACCAGTCAACTCCATCAGAGAACCAGTTATACAATCAGTCACTTCTACTGAGGCAGCAGTGCAACGGGCCAAGGCTGAGATCAAAAGACAACAAAATGAACACAAAAAACGGCAAATCCCCCCTAAACGACAATACAAGATGATAAAAGCCATTGACCAGGTCAAAGGCAAGAAGCGGGTGATTTCGACACCTCCTGGAATCAGAGACAGCAATAAAAATTAAATAAAGAGTGACTGACATTGCACTATAAGTTGACTGAAATTAGTAAATACTGCATAAATCTTAACAATAATCACAATGAATGTCATCGTGAATCCAACTTATAGTAATAAAATATAATGATGTAGAAAATGTATAATGTTTCTGTTCGTTTGCACATCCACTGTGCTAAGGTGAAACTATTGTAAAAGTGTTAATGTTTATATAATAAAATTTTAAATAATGAAACGTCTGATGCCTAGAGGTATGATAATTAGTATTCCAACAGCATGTGGAGATACCGTATCTGTTATCTGTTATTAAGTAAATATGGTTCTGTAAGTTATAAAATTATGTCAACAAACGTTGACCTTTGATCACTGCTCTTTCTTGTTATAAAGCTACAAAACTGGTTTGAACCAGTAACATAAGTGGAACATTTTTCTGATTCATTGATTTTGCTGCTTTCTAATTAGATGAAAATATACTGCAACCCGATTGGTTAAAATAGTCCATAAATACTGTTTCCTGATTGGTTAAATTGATTCTGCATCTCGAAACCTGATTGGTTAAAATATACTGTACTCTGATTGGTTAAAATAATTCTGCAAGTTTAAACCTTTTTGGTTGAAATGGTTCTGCAGTTATCTTTTTTACTGTTTTATCAGTTTGTTATCCACCTTTGACCTATAACAATGAAACATCCATGAACTAGACAAGATAGCTTATCACATAGTCACCAGGTTACCTTAACAGTGTTTGTTTGATTATCTTATCAATTGAGCTCTCTCTTATTAGTTATCAGTAACCTTTGACCAGTTATATCAGAAACCATGGTAGTTATCTTTTTCACTGTCTTATCAGTTTATTATCTCTCTCTTATCAATTGTCAGTAACCTTTGACCAGTTATATCAGTAACCATGTGACCTATGACATCATTTCTGTGCATTGGGCATAGAACTCAAACCTATGTTCTTTTATCAATTATCAGTAACCTTTGTCCAGTTATATCAGAAACCATGGTAGTTATCTTTTTCACTGTTTTATCAGTTTATTATCTCTCTCTTATCAATTACAGTAACCTTTGACCAGTTATATCAGTAACCATGTGACCTATGACGTCACTTCCACTTCCGGTGCATCGTCTTATCTTTTTTACTGTTTTATCAGTTTGTTATCCACCTTTGACCAATAACAATGAAACATCCATGAAGTAGACAAGATAGCTTATCACATAGTCACCAGGTTACCTTAACAGTGTTTGTTTGATTATCTTATCAATTGAGCTCTCTCTTATTAGTTATCAGTAACCTTCAGACCTTTGACCAGTTATATCAGAAACCATGGTAGTTATCTTTTTCACTGTCTTATCAGTTTATTATCTCTCTCTCTTATCAATTATCAGTAACCTTTGACCAGTTATATCAGTAACCATGTGACCTATGACGTCACTTCCACTTCCGGTGCATCGTCTTATCTTTTTCACTGTTTTATCAGTTTGTTATCCACCTTTGACCTATAACAATGAAACATCCATGAAGTAGACAAGATAGCTTATCACATAGTCACCAGGTTACCTTAACAGTGTTTGTTTGATTATCTTATCAATTGAGCTCTCTCTTATTAGTTATCAGTAACCTTTGACCAGTTATATCAGAAACCATGGTAGTTATCTTTTTCACTGTCTTATCAGTTTATTATCTCTCTCTTATCAATTATCAGTAACCTTTGACCAGTTATATCAGTAACCATGTGACCTATGACGTCACTTCCACTTCCAGTGCATCATCTTACCACGTGATCTATGACGTCACTTCCGGTGCATATGGCATATGACGTCACGTCCGGTGCACCATGGTGCACAAGTACCGGTGCCGGTTGTAGGTCGAAAGGCCCGCCGTATACTACTGGTATGTAATAAAATGTCAAAAGGTGGCAAAAAATGAAAAATTCTCTGGTTTCATGCCAATTTTAGAGCCTGGGATTCAAGAGGTTAAGAGGTGTTCATACATGAACAGATTTCAGAGATTGCCAAAGGTAGAGATGGTAGAATCACTCAAGTGAATATTTTTTTTATCTAATATAAGAACTAAAAAATGTGTTTGCCCTTCAGATTGAGATTTGAGATCCAGTTTTATATAACAGTCTCAAGAACATATGGAATGCATCATCACTTTGATTTCCAGCTTTAAGAAAAATATATGATATTAATCAGATCCATATACCTAACAGTTTCCAAGGTTAAAAGTTTGGATGTGCCTGGGAATCTAAATGGGCAAGAGACAACAAACTGAAAATTTAGCCTGTTGTGAATAAGCTTTTGGCCATTTGATCAGACATATGAACATTTTGGGGGAAATGGGAAAAAACTTAACTTGGTCCTTATCATCAATCAGGAAATAATATTTCTATTAGATTTGATAAACCCTGTATCCAAAACCTAGTAGATAACCGTAACGTTAACCAAAGCTACACCCATAATATCACACACAATTTTAAAAATTTAATTTTGGAACAGAAAACCTGGTTCATACACAGTAAAAGCTGTATAAAGTGAACACCTATGAAACCACAAAAAGTGTTCACTGTAGGTTCACTACAGAGAGGGATTTTATGCAGAAGTCAATGTAAAATGTGTCTTAAAGTGGTGTTCACTAAACACAAGTATTTAAAGAGAAGTGTTTACTAAGACAGGTGTTACTGTACTTGGGACCATAGTACCAGAACCTCAGATTTGAAACACTGACATCTTTAGCTGGACTAGGAATGATACACTTGGCACGAAGTACTATATTCTTAATGAGAAACATCTTTATAGCAGATTTACAAACTGGGGAAACCTTCTAATGTCCAGATAGATGCGTTTTTAATCATCCTGAAAGTCTTTCTATTCCTAGACATTGTCTTGTCCTTGTAATAATACATACCTTCAGGAATATGCCACTGACATTATGCTCACTGATTTGACGACAGACATATCGTGTAGCAGTCACATTCAATGTTGTACCTTGTGATAAATATACATAAATATAATAGAACATATAATAATCCATATGCTACCCTCTGCAAGAGTGAAATATATGAATAGATAGGTAAACATATTACATGTACTGTGACTGCTATTCTACACAAGCTGGAAAATGAATGATTGTAGTCAGAGGGGAGAACACTAATCAATGATCTAAGGGTGCTTGTATGTTAATTAATAATAACCTTTTAGTTAATTAATCCTTGCCTGATTTACCATAATTCAACTGATAAAAGTATAATAATTCAAATCAGTATTAGTTATTTATCACCTTGTTCAAAGCAGCCACTCTAGGATTCATGATAACAAATTATGCCCCATGTTCACTAAAGAGATTCTTTGGGCAGGTTATTTAATCCATAACGAACCTGTTCTCATTACAATACTTGAAAAAAAACTTACATCTAACTTTAACATTTCAGTGGCCTATTATGGACACAATCATGAGAAAACTTTTGCTGGCTGTCGCTTCCTGTTCTATGTATGGCTTGCCAACTGTCCACAACTTGGTAGTTCCCCTGGTATGGAATAGTATATGGTATAAAATAGATAAACAGGAATCCTAAATGCTCAGACTCCAAGTCTTTTTAAATTGATAAAGTTCTTTCCTATTTCTAAAAGAAGCAGTGTCAAACAATTGAAAGAAGGGATTATTCCTTCAAGAAGTGAAATCTGGAGTAAACAAGACACAGACGTGAACAATATCGTACCTTAAACACAGCAGTGTGACAGTGAAGAATTTAGGACGGAAAATCCAAAATGGCCACCTTAAAATTTACCCAGAATGTCCAAAAACTAATCAGTTCTTAACTTTGATACGTAGAAACATCCCTGAAAATTTCAGATGAATCCATCAAATGGTTTGGCTAGAAACCTGTAGACAAGTCTTGAAAGTGAAGATTTTAGGGTGGAAAATCCAAAATGGCCACCTTAAAATTAACCCAGAATGCCAAAAAACTAATCAGTTCTTAACTTTGATACGTAGAAACATCCCTGAAAATTTCAGATGAATCCGTCAAATGGTTTGGCTGGAAACCTGTAGACAAGTCTTGAAAGTGAAGATTTTAGGACGGAAAATCCAAAATGGCCACCTTAAAATTTACCCAGAATCCCCAAAAACTAATCAGTTCTTAACTTTGATACGTAGAAACATTCCTGAAAATCTGTCAAATGGTTTGGCTGGAAACCTGTAGACAAGTCTTGAAAGTGAAGATTTTAGGACGGAAAATCCAAAATGGCCACCTTAAAATTTACCCAGAATGCCCAAAAACTAATCAGTTCTTAACCGCCTGCTGCCCGCCCCCCCGCCCGTCAAGCTGACGACAATATCGTACCTTTATTAGGTACGATAAAAACAAACAGATAACTCCAAGTACATCATACGAGTATAATCACCTTCAGACATTTGTTTTATCTATCTAAAATAAAGAATAACAAAAACATGAATAAAACCCAGGAGGCACATACTGAATATAAATACAGTTTTATTGACAAATTATGTGGTTCACCTTGCAGACATGGAACACGTTTGATATAAATGTGGAGTAACTGTAACATTAATCATGTTAATATATTTGTGTTTTACAGGAAAAATCTC